GAGTCATTCTCTGTAAAATCTGAAGAATCCAAGGAGGATGTTAAAACGAATGTCCCCGAAATACCTATTTTTTTTTATAAAGTGTAATCAAGTGTCATGGCAACCGGAACTAATGGAAATATGGTCATTTTGACAGGTTCTATTTTGTGAAATATAACATTTTTAACCCCCATATGTCCTTTACACACCAAAATATTGACACTTTCTATAATTACATAATTTATTTATGCATTCTTATATAATTTAAATAATAAGTATTTAAATCTTTTGCCTGAAGTTTAATTTTTAAGCTGATAGAAGGCTAAAAATGTCAAATATCGTTCTTTTTTCAAAATGCAAAAATACCCATTTTACCTTCAATTTCAATTATACATGTATTTATCTTTAAATTCCAAGATAGGTTTTTAAAACTTCTTGTTTATTAAAATTATCTATATATCTATTGGTATAGCAACATGTGTATCGTGTATACTGTTCGTTATCCCTTTCTGTTTCATTGAATCTATTCTTTATTTTAAAGAACAAAAAAATATTCGAAGAATCCCCCTTATGCCATAACAAATAAATTTAGTGAATGTCTTTTAAAAAAGAACAAAAATCAAATTTCGATCAATTCATTATAATTGTTGTGATCAGATATACTAGTCTACACCAGGAAACACGTACATTAGTGTGACACGAATTTTTAAGGATTATGGAGGCTAATAATTAAAATTCAAGGCGAGTAGGAGATATTGTTTTCCCCCATAAAATAGGCTAGTTTGTTTTACATTACATTATAATTACTTAAAGCGACAGAAAATAAAAGTGTTGAAAAGACACCAACTGAAGTGTAGGAATCCGTTTTTAGTTATAATATTCTATTGATAGATCGTTCAAAGGTGGAGGCATTTCATCGTCGGATACCCACAGGTGATCTCGTCTTCAAATCAGCACCAGTGGTCACTCTCGCTGGAAAATTTCTGTATTTAATTTAAATGCGAGGGTTATTTAACTGGTTGTTAAACAGAGTTGAGATATAAAAAAGAGTTCATCATTACGTTTCTTATGTATGTTTTGCAAAGTGGGAAACTTTTACGTAGTTAACATACCGATTTACTCATCGGTGTATGTTACAGTTCGAGAAAGGTATTCCTATTTAATTTGAAACAAAATTCATGACTTACGGGCGACAAGATTATTAGATACAATAGAAAACAGTTTAACATGTTTAAGTAAACGTATTTTTAGAAAATTAGCAAAAATCCATTTTTCTAATTGGAAGTCTGAAAACGGTAGATTTGCATATTTTACTGCTATTTTAGTCGTGTTTTAATACTTTCCTTACTTAGCTTAATAGGAAAAATATATAGGTAAGAACTCATTTACTATGACATTGATATATGTTTATGATTCACAAAATATATGGAGAAAACGAACAGTACACAAGATCAAAATTCCATAAAAAATACAAAATAAGAGCAGAGCAAAACCGGACCTCCAAAACAACAGAGGTGGGATATGATGCCATGGAGGAGTGAGCATCCCCTGCTGACCAGTCACATGCGCCCTGTGCTCCTTGTAATGACAAGGACATCGGGAAATCTGTCAGCACAAGAAAACGATTTATTTTTATTTGAAATTGAATTGAAATAGACAAAATACACACGTCGTTTTGAAACTTTTACTTTAATAAATACATACAGTATACTAGTATATACACAACAAGCTAAATCAAGAGAATTTGTGTCCCCCGCCTAGGGAAAAAGTAAACTATGCGTAGGTCGGGGGAGGGGAGTCGGATTCCCCTGACTGAATTTGTAGAATTATTATTTGTATACATGTTTACTGAAGCAAATAAAATATGCCAATATGGATATAAAGATTTAAATGCTTATTCTTTATTACGTGTATAGAAAACCCTTTTTATATGGAATATTTATCACACTGTAATGATGATTTTATGAGTTTGTACAAGCCAGAACTCATAATTTTTTCATTTCACATGCTGAATACTATCATTTAGTAAAAAAAAAGTATTTCTGAAAAAAAAGAAAATGGATTGTCCAGGATTTGAACCCGGGACCTCTCACATGTGAAGCAAGAGACATACCAGTACACCATGAACAGGCGAAAATTATAAGCAAATACATATATATATTCACGTTCGATATATGTTCAAAATTTTACACAATGCATGGTGTCTATTCTAACCTTAATTAAACAATTGTAATAGATGTAATAAGAATATAAAGTCCGCTGAGAACCTGTTTTATACGTAATAACTCTCCTCGTGCCCCTGTGCTAAAAATAGCGACATGTAATACAATAAATACTAATAAAACAAATGGGGTGGGACACTTCGAAAGAGTTGAGAGAGGCCCTAGGGAGTTTTAGTATAAAATTACATTGCAAAAGCTCAAAATCTTCTTGAAATATCGCCCGGAAAGGATAGTTTTACACACAGACAGAATGTATAATTAACCACCTTGAACTTTGACCATTTGACCTCAAAATCAAAAGGAGTCTTCCTTAAGCAACTGGGAGTTGTTAGGTAAAATTTCATTGCAAAAGCTCAAAGGGTTCTCGAGATATCGCGCGGAAACGAAAGTGTTACAACAGACAGAATTTACGAATTTATGACCTGGACCTTTGACTTTTTGACCGCAAAATCAATAGGGTTCTTCCTTAGTCCAAAGGGAGTTACAATGCAAAATTTCATTGCGAAAGCTTAAAGTGTTCTCGAGATATCGTGTGGAAACGAAAGCGTTACAGACAGACAGAAAGACGGACAAAGACGGACGGACAGAACCAAATTAATATCCCCCACTTTTCAAGCGGGGGACAATATGTGTTAACGTTGTATTTACGAACGTGTTCTTAAAGTAGTGAATCAGCCTAGTTTATATGTTTATTCATGGAGAGTGCAGTTCAGTGGTCTATTATTCCGAAAAGTTTAGATTGCATTCCCATTCTGCATGCAATTAAAATGCTTCTTCGATATTCTTAATCATTATTGAATATTTTTAAAACTTCAGCTCTTCATATTCTTGTTGTTTTTCTTCAATACACAACTCATCGAAGCCACACCTGTAGAAAAAAAGAAATAAACAACGATTTCAATCAGGCAACGATTTTTGAATAGAAATTATTTGTCAATCTCAAAAAAAGCAATTAATATATTTATTTATTTACCTGCTTTATTCTACTAAAACAGAACTGATAACAGAATCATTATACATGTTCTTCATTTCTGCAGTACAATTTAATTATTATCTTTTTCAATGTTTTGTTTTTCATTGTTACCTATAGATATAAATAGATGAATATATATAGTAATATAATTTTTTGTCTAGCACACAGACGGTTTTCTACCATACAGAAAATATGCTTTAGAATGTTATAAAGTAATAATTCTAATATTATATAAGTATTGTAGCTTACATTTTTGATTCACCTTCGTGTTTTAATGTATCTTCTTCCTTCGAAATGTCGCTGTGAAAACCTTCATTTTCGAAACTACTATCTGCAAATGATATGAAAAATGTAAAAATTGTATCGTTCATTTTGTGGAAACAGGCATATCAATTAGATATATCTATGTTATTTTGGATTAAAAAATATAAGATAATAAGATAGGCTAAGATCATTACAAATATTATTATCTCTCTTGCAAAATGGCATCGCAAGATATAAAAAAAATATTCAAATGTTTCATTTTAATGCAAATTTTATTCAATGTTAGTGCACTCTTCCCCCCAGAAAACACAGAGTTCAAGCTTGTCTATCTAACACATCAAAATCAGATACTTCATGAAATAGGTAATATTGAGATATATTGTTTACAAAGTGAAAATGTGAAAATTATCTAAAACTTGACAAAATTTCATCAGAATTGGAAAAAGACATGAAAAAAGTCAGAAGTTGGCAACCTTTTATGGCCTCCTTGCACTCTTTGAATAAAAATTTTGGTTTTTAATTTGATTTTAAATTAAGCTGCATTAGAATTGTCAATTTGAAAAAAATGTCAATCTTTTACAACGAATAAGGGATAATATTTAGTTGTTACCATGCCTCGTCCTTTGACAAATTAAATGAAAATTAGAAAAGGGAATAAAAGTTTTTAATTAAAGAGAAAAAACCTTTTCCATGCTTGTCGCTCTTTCTAAATGGTTCTTTGCCATATCGTACATATCTTGGCTGAAATACACTGCGGAAAATAATGCTTTACAGTTACTTGTAGTACAAAATAAAACTATAATTAATTGAGAGATGTTTCTTAATTTTTAAGATATAGATCAACTTTAAGAACAAAATCAATTTAAATTGAAAATCAAAACAAAAACCTGACATGTATATGATTGAATTGCAAGATATAATTATATTATAGAAATTTATAAAGAAATTTTTTAGTCAATATAAATGTATTCCTATCTCATCATTAATAAATTAGCAAATAGTTTTATGTTTTTGATAAACTTCCATTTAACTGCACAATTACATTTGCATTATTTTATCTACACAACTCTTTTTTAAATGACATAAAATAAAAATTAACCTTTTTGAGGTCATTACTTGTGAGGATCCTGCAAAACAAAATAACGATTAAAACTGCATGTACATGAAACCATGTAGAAAACTAGGATATATAAATAATCAATTATACAAGTTATCAAAATTATATTTTGTTAATTGTTCATTTTTTTAATATTACAAATTGTTAAAATGATGAATCTTAAACTTTGAAGCTTTCTCTTCTTAAATCAAAATCTAGAAAATAATTACCGGATGTACTTTTATGTATATCTTCTGTCACTTCATATTCATATTTGCTTCTGAAATTTATTAACAATTTTATATTTGTATCCCTTCATTGAATGTTTATATTTAAAAAAAATCACCTTTTGCGTAACTTAGCAGAAAGTACGTGCTAATGAAGAATCTTCAAGGAAGTCTTATTGTATATTCTGTATTCAAAATAATTAATATATTTCATGTATTAAATTTGTGAAAAAAAAAAATCACAGAATTAATGTTATACACACCTCTGAATCTTGAAAAAAGAAGTCGGATGTTGCAGTTTGTTTAGCTTCAAAAGTAAAATTTTGTTCATTTTGTTCATACATGTATATCACATAAAGAGCAAAAATGCACAAATGCACAATAGAGTAAAGGAAATGTTTACAACTTCGCATGCCACAAATTTTGTAATAAATTTAAACCAAACGACAGGTATTTGATTAAACGGATACTCTTTTTTTCTTACATATATTTAATAACTCCTTTTTCAATAAAGCACAACTCTATATAAAGACACGTGTAAGAAGAAATAAAAAGTTATTAAAATATTCTTATTTGATCAAGTCTCAAAATAATATATGTATTACCATTTGTTACTAATGAAAGACTGGTAAAACTTGATCCTAAACCACATGAGCTTGAGGATGACAGAGGAATTTCACAGAGAAAGTGCAGAACCTTGTTGTACTCCGTTACGTGATAAGTAATTCTACTAAACACTATATATTCTCCACTTTTGTTTGCTGATGACGTCATTTCCTCTTCCTGTGTAGCAACTTTGATCCACTTTGCAGTGTCTGTCTTTCTAACACACCAGTTGATTGACTTCATAAAACAATACGTAAAAGGATGTAAAAGCTTTTATAAAATCAAAAGCCAGCGATTTTTTGTAAAGAAAATGCATAATGACGATAAATCTATTTCATTCATTTATTGTTCTTAATCTTAGAAATGCTAGGAAAGAAGAACCAAATTAAGTAGTATAAGTTCCCAAGAAAACATGATGAATATTTAATCTGTCCCCTAATTAGATTATCGTTAATTATGTATAATGTATTTTTATTTAATTTACCAGTGCATTAGATGTAAATGAGGATGCGCTACATGTGAGATAAAACGTTCTACCAAGTCCATGTGTAAGGACATTTTGTTCATCTATAACTCCATTTTCATCGAACATAAGAATAGGAGATATCTTTCATCGGCCTTCTTTTTTCAAATAAATGAAGATTACAAAATGCAGAGAAAAACTTTTCAAATTTATCTGACAATTAAATTACGTTTCATAGTTTTGCACAAATTATGAAAAAAACTAACAGCAAAGCAACTAAGCTCAAAAGATCATTCATTTTTTGTGTGAAATTTATTTTGACTTTAAATGAAACTTTTAATATCATTGTATCATTACGTTATTAAATTTTTGTCAATAGCTTGTTTTAGAAATTGTACTATTAATTATAATAATTACCATTACTTGTAATGCTTGTGTTTAATATAATTGTTGAGTTTGCGCTTCCATTACCACATTTTTTCCTACGTGTGTTATATCCGGATTCGCACATAATTTCCAGATGTGCATCACTATCCATGATATGGTAAAATATTTCCGACTTCTGCACATTTGTGCAACCATCCTTGCTGCTCCGTACCAAACCAGAGTTTGGAGGATTTTGTAAAGGTATTTCATCAAATGTTCCTAATTTTTTCTTGCACCACCTTATATACTTGGAAAATAAAAGCAAATTTTCAAATTATGATAAATTACAAAAAAAATTATTTCATTTCTATCAGTCCTTCATTCAAACAATATCTTATTGAACAATTGATTCGTTTTGATTTTAATACATGCATACATAAGTACTCTGAAGTTGACATCAAGAAGATGCTTGAGTTTCAGTTTGACAATATCTATGTGGTGTTTATGTATTCCAACAATCTATTGAATTCAAGGGTTTTGATTTTTATATTCATATTAAGCAGAATTTATGCAAAATCGTATGCGTGAAAAGAGGAAAACACTTGCTGTGGCTTTCAATACATTTAGATATATCGACGACGTATTGTCAATTAATAATGATAATTTCCATTCCTACGAGATACGATATATCCTGGTGAGCTTGATAAAAGATGTCCGACACTTCTGCTTCATCTAAACAATAAAATTTCTTTGTTTGTTATTACTGGAATTAACGGAAAGCTGTTGCAGAAAAAATACATAACCCGGGCTGTGTAAGTTTTTTTTTGCAATAGCTGCGACCATTCCTAATAACAAATTTTGTTTATATTTATATCTGTTTAAATAATCATTTAAAGTAAGATTAAAAAGATTAATCATTGTGTTATTGATGCGAACGTCTTTTACGTTTCATTGATGGAACAGTTGATAACATCTAATGTAATGCAGTGATTTGTTTTTCAAAATAAAGGAGAAAATATTCTGTGACGTGGATGTAAATATACTTGGATATTTTACTTGAAAAAGACACTAATGGCAATCTAACAACCAAGCCATATGATAAATGTGATGACTTTAACTTTTCTATCGTCAACTTCCCTTACTTATGCAGCAATATACATACATCACCTGCATACGGAGTATATATATCTCAGTTGAATCGATACGCAAGAGCATGCTCTACGTATGAACAATTTCTTAAACGAGATAAATTATTGACAAGCAAGTTGATGAAACAAGAATATCAACAGTCTCGTTTAAAGGCATCATTTCGTAAGTTCTATGGTCGATACAATGACCTTGTCAGCAAATACAATTTATCATTGAGTCAAATGCTGACTGACGTTTATCATACCAATTGTTAGTCCGTTATTTACCCACTGAATTGACGACGGATTTTTTCCGTTATTTCCTGATCATGTTGTATGTCCACCAGGGGATGCTCACTCCTCCATGGCACCTAACCTCTGATGTTTCGGAGGTCCGTGTTTGCTCTGCTCTTATTTTGTATATATTGTTTAATGGACTTTGAGATTGAATACTGTTCGTTATCTCCATATCCTTCTACATGTTATCTGAATTGTAATAATGTAAGGAAGACAATTGAATGGCATTGTACATATCTTTTAATATCTTTTAAACAGAAACATAGAAACTGATGAGTATTCTCATAGCAATTTCTGTTTGAAGAAAAATATAAGTTGAGAAATAAATTTTCCCCCATCAAATTTTGCATACTTCCCATGTTTGTTATTTGCATTATAGACCAGCGTTTATTGTTTAGCATTAAGCCATTTCTTTTTCATTACAGAATATGCACATTTGACCTACCTCGCTAGGTTGCCATTAACACTCTCAATTTCTCCTTCACATTGTAGATGGATCACATCTCCGGGTCTGAAAGGATCTTTACCACCCGTTTGTATTTCACCATTGCTTCTTATAATGGTTGGATTTTGCATTTCTGAAGGAAGTTGACCTATAATATGATACTACAAATTTGTACTAGTAATTATAGTAACAAAAAATTGAGGAACAAGAATCAAAGTTGACCATAGATCGTACAATTAACCTCCATTTAATTAAGTAACACATACTATGCTTTTGAAAGAAGTTTCTTTTATTTATTTCTAAAAATGCAATTGACCGTGTTACCTGGCCTTACCTAATCTCAAAGACTATGGAGTTTAACAAACCCTAAGTCGCACGACATGAGAATTTCAATATCATTCTAATAAAATGATATTGCTGTCCAGAAGAAGAGTTTAATTCCATTATTAAAATATATTATTTCACATTGTGACACCATTCTGGCTTTAAAAGGTTGTAACTTGACCAGATTTTAATCCACACAACATGGGATTTCTAGAAATAAGGTGATGAATATATGGCCTTGCAGTTCTGAAAAAGATAATACATTCGTTCACCCCCCCCCCCCTCCCCTTTAAACTAGTCACATTAGCTCTTTGTTCTCTTTGTCAACATCGAGAAGAGATAAATCAGTGTGACAAAAATGGCCTAACAAGTAGTATGAAATACGTTCTGCAGGAGAATTTGACTAGATGGTAGATTGTATTTTCAGACATTATCTATAACTGTATCGACCAACTCTCGAAATGAAGACTTTAAAAAGACTGTTGCTATTCTTGAATAATTAACTTTGTTTGAATTTTTACCTTTTGTGCATTTTTCCAAATCAATTATCCAAATGAGACAGTTTAGGTTTAGAGTTTTAATGGATGAATGACGCATGAAAACCCTATGTTAGGCTCCATTAAATGTACAGCAAATAAAAACACTGTTGTAAGGACACCAATACATGTATTGACTGAATTGATGACAGATATTCCCGTTATTTCCCAATCATGACAAAGAGCACACGGCGTGTGTAACGGGTCAGCAGGGGATGCTCATTCCTCCTTTGACACCTGATCCCACCTCCGATGATTTGGAGATCCATGTTTGCTCTGCTCCTATTTCGTATTGTTTTATAGACTTTTGATCTTTAATAATGTGTGTTATCTCTTTGTGTTTCATTCGTTATACTCTGCACATGTATATAAAGTTTTGATAGAAAATATGTCAAAAATTAATTAATGCTTCCAAACTCACCTTTTGTTGACACAAAACTTTTTTCGCTGCTTTTAAAAGTCTGACTTCCGTTGGAAACTTTACATCTGAAGATCGAGTAGAGGTCCGGATCTACCGTACAATTGCTCAATGCAAAGGATGCAAAAATCCTGATACCACATCTAAACCCTTCATAGCAAACATAGGATGAGGATATTGAATAATTTTGTTGATCCTGATCCTTCACAAGGAGATAGGATCCTGTAGTGTTTGTCATTGCAATTTCCTTCCAGTCGCTGTTTTTAGTTTGCCGGATTTCCATAAACATTTCAGGAATTATCCTGTCTGTATTCATGTAGTAATAACAATATATGCTAACACTATTTCCTCGCATGGTAGTCGGTGGATAGGCAGACATGCTCCATTGCCCTGTACCCAGTACTGTTAACATACAATATTTGACGGTGTATTCTATTTTTAGCAATTCTGGCGAAAAGCGGTATATGCTAAATTAAGTACATCGTTAAATATCATGTATATTATACGTTTACATCTAGCAAATCAAAACAGCGCTAAATTAAAAGCACGCTAATTTGCTGAAAAATAAATATCTGACCAATATCGTGCACGTCACTTTCAACACATTTACAGCAAATGATCAATGAATATTTAATCTTTTGTATAAAAAACAAGTACTTGCTTTAATAAACGGTAAATGAATGGGTTACCTTGACAAACTGGAAAGAAGATGATAAACAAAATCAAAATATACATAGCTACGTCTTGGAAATAAAATTCTCTGAGATGTTAATCAACAAAACTTTTTATAAAAATGACTTTTTGCGACGTTTGTTGACCTGAGATTTAAATTGAAGCGGTACAGGTAACCCGTAATAAGAAAGATATGCTTCGGTAACTCTAGATCTTTTCTGCAAGAACTATGCAAAATATATATGTACAATCTTTATTATTTTCACAATAATCTTTTTTATTTATTTAAAAAAAAAAACAAAAAAAAAAACAAGAAATTTGACAACAATATAAATGTAATATATTGTTTTCTATATCATTTAATGAGTGCCTAAAATATTGGCATTGCTGTTTTTCTACATCATTAAATATTAACATCCACTGATTATTTTCTCCTTTATTCTGTGCAAAAAACCCAATGCATTAATCAGCATGTAAAAATATTGTAAAACTCAGATCATTAAGGCTTCTAGAACGTATAAAGACGTTAGTGCTCATAAATAAAATAATTAAACGTTTTAATATTTCTTTAATATATTATTTAAACAGATATAAACACTTACACATTTTTCCTCATATGAGTTAATAGCAGTGATAACTTTTAAAACATTTTATGTTTAAATGACATAAAATCAGGTCTTGGGCTTTCACTTTTTTCTAGATTTCTTTGTCGATGTGGCGATCTCAAACTTTATTTATTAAAAGACTTTATATATTTAAAAACAAACTGTCTTTAAACATTATTTGAAAACGCTTCAAAAAATAAAATTGATTCAAGTGTGTTTGTTTTCAAGGTTTTCATTGGAGGTTTTATGCAAAATATGTATTGTTTAAGATTTCATTTTTAATTTTCTACTGTTGCACAAAAAAATGTTCCTTTGAATGGTGCCATTTAATACAGGCCCTGTGTTGCACGACATGCGATAGCCAGTACACATTAAGTCATATTATGGCCTCATCGACCTCAATTACACACGTTTATAAGAAACATCAACAAAATCGTGGCGTCTCCATATGGTGAAAAAAAATCTTTGTTTCACAGAGACAATATAAAAAGATGAAGAATATTTCAAGGATTTAAGATATTGCTGCACAAATGTCAATCAATGCAATTGTTCAAAACCAAAACAAAGCCAAAAATGAAGATAAGAAAAAGATAAACTATGTTTGATGTAAGTTTCCTAAAATTTGTTACGTGTGGGAAAGTGCATAGGATTTGTTTATAAATTTTAAATTTTAAAAACATTCTCATAGCATTATATAAACCCATTTTATTTTAAATTAGATAGGAACACATGCATGTTTAGTGTTCGATATTTAATCTATATTGTCGATATTGCTGTTAATATACCTCTTAATTCAAAACACACATTAACACATTGCTCGTCATATAATCATTTTCAATTAGCATTGTTACTATAACTTTTCAAATTCTTAATGTTGGATGTCATAAAATCTATTTGAACTTTCTCTGTAAACAAAATATACAATTTATGAATTTTTATTAGCTCATTTGCATAAAAATATCCATATTTAGCCTTCACTCACTTGCGTTGTCGACATCGCAATTTTAGATGACGATATCATGTCGACTTCGTGTTAACATTGCTTCCCGTTTTCTTGTTTACATTGTTCATACTGTCGGCATTGCTATGACTAGGTGGATATCTTTTCAACTTTGTATCTTATTCTCTTGTTTACATTGTTGATATTGCAATGTTGGACGATATCAAGTCAACCTTGTCGACGTTGCCTTCTGTGTGCTCCTTATAACACCGTTCACATGGTCAGGTTTGTAGTGTTTTACGATATTAACTCAGTATCAATCTACATTGTTTACATTGCAATATTAACTTTGCAATGAAAATTATATTATTGAAGACAATATACACTCAATATTAAATCAGCATTGTCTTATTGCAATGTTACCAGAGTGAATGAAAATAATGTAGACGACGTAAGCACGATATCGTGTCAATATTGTCGAAATTGCATTGTTAACAATGACAATATAGAGATAATAACCTTTTAGACGGTTTAAATACATATCGTGTAAACACTATCTAACTTCCGATGTCGGCAATATAGAAATGACAGAGTAAACTGGACATGAATTACTTTTAGATGATATTGGTGTTTCGATATCTGATACAGAAACTAATACATGCACATGTATAATATGGTAATATGCTTTTGTTCTCTACATAAAAGAAGTATATTCTTATATTAAAGAGCAGAAAATGTATCTATATTAGAATATTTTCACATACAAGAGACTATATATAACATAAACTATTAACTCTTATCTACGTTAAGGAGCTGAACATATATATTTGCTATGCATTTTATTGCAAATGTGGTTCTAACCCCACGTTTTTACATCACATGCTTACAAAATCACACTCTTATCAAAATCTTTCAGTGTATTAAATTAAAAAAATTGCAACTTTAAAAATTTCATCGATTAGCTCCATATCTTCTATCACCTTTTCGTATTATAACTCTTGCCATTAGAAGAGAATATTTCCAAGTAAAAAAAGCAAACTTTTATTACAAATGACGCCTATAACCCTGAATGGGCACAGTTCGTGATCCCGAGACAGGGAGCCATTGTTTAAAATGAATAATTCCAAAAAGTTTAATAAATGTCAACATCATTAGTTTTCAATTTGATCAATAGTACTTTAAGCAATTTATTTACTTTAGACAAGAGTAAATAAAAAGATTGTTAACACGGTATCTCAAAGGTGCTGGAACAAAAAAAATGAAATACTACAAATAAATTAATAATATCAGATATTTTATATATAAAGGTCTTCTTAGATGGATGTCAGCCTCTGTTAAAAACATGAACCTATCGTTCACTTTAGTCAAATTTTACATTCAGGTTAACTTTTCTGTAAGTAACGTGATGCACAACTGATACACCTAAAACCTTTTTATAACCATGTGATTATGTAAGCATGTGTGATGTAATTCGATCGAATTGAATGTGAAATTTCTTTGATTCAAGTTAATTACCTCTTATAACATTATTATATACGAGTTAATCCAGAAACTTTTTTCTCCAAGGGGGGTGGGGGGTGGGAGAGGGGTGTCCATCCAAGTCGAAATAATGTCATTTTAATTGCTCAGAATGATCATTATACACATTTATGGACATCAGTTACATCTTTATATTATTCAATTCTTTTTAAACGTAATAAAAGATTGTTCAAAATATATACCTACAAATCAAGTCATGAATCTAAAATAATACATAACTGAACATTTCATTGATAAATACAAGATAAGTAATGTTCTTTTCTCAAGGAAACATTTTATAACTTTTCCTAGAAAGTGATCAATGTTTTATGATTCAGATGCTTAATTTTGTATGTGTTCTTCTTTCAGGAAAAAAGAAAAGACTCGTTCTTTTCACGAGTCTTTTCTTTTGAACGTGTATGCACTTGTTTTAAGTCTAGATCTTCGTAGTTTTGCTGTTCTTCTTCAATGTGCAGCTCATCATAGTCACATCTGTCGCACAAAAGAAAGTATATTTTTTTATTCAATTTGAATCAAAGTAAATTTTATAACAAAGTATAAGTATTTAATTGCAACGACAAAGTTTGATTAAATTGTTTTTTTTTTCTATTCAAATAACTAAATTGAGGACAATAATTGTCACCGAAATGTTCTTCGGTATGATCTCTGAATGTGAAGATTTAACAAAAATCATAAACTTATGCTCTGGGAAAAGGAATGGTTTAAATATTAATGTGTTTTAAATTATATTATTTCATATAAGCAATAGTTTCCTACACAAACAGATAATTTTCTAATGATGATTCGAAAGGTGTTTTTTTGGTCACTTACATTTTAGATTCAGTTTTTTGTTTCAGTTTTTCTCCTTCATTCAAAATCTCATCTTTCAACAATTCATTTTCATACACACTTTGTCTTTGAACCGCCAAAGCACATTCTGGTTCTTCGTAAAATCCCCTGGAACATAAAGATTAATTCTTTAGTATGAATTGAACTGCACTAGTGTTGGACAATTTAATGATTAAAATAAAAAAAAATGATTGATGAGGCAAAATGGCTTCACAATATCACTGGTACTTACTGAATTTTATCTTCAGAATCTCTTTGCCCTTTATGCTCTGCAAAACGATATATTTTAAAGTGAAAGTATCACTTTTTTTCTTTCATCACTTTTATTCTAAATTCCCTCTTTTTTCTCGTTTGAAATGAGAAACCGTTATACAAAAAAGCTGATGTAAAAAATAATTCCGGAAAAAAAAACTAAAAACGTAGTGTAGAAATGACGAAAAATTCTTAAAAGAGCATAATAAAGGAATCAAAATATTTACTTTCCTGGCATTGTCTTTGAATTAAAATGATAATTTATAATAGAGACATGTACAGAACATGCACAATAAATTTATGTCCTTGTAAAGTGTAAGCAAAATAATTAATTAACATATATTAAACAAATAAATGAATTGTGGAATAAAAAATACCTGTCTTGTTTTCATCAATCTTAGAATTGATTTTGATTGGCTCATCAATATATCTTATGCTTGACTGTGCTATACTGTGAAAAGTTGATTTTTGAATGCATGTAAATTGAAAACAAAGAAATACATAAATGAAAATCATTTTATATGATAAAAGTATTTTTATTGTATAGTAAACTTTGTAATCCTTTCTTGTATGAAATCTTATTAGAACAATATACCTATTCGACGAGTTTGCTTGAGAAGGCTCTGAAAAAAAAACACATTTATAACATGATATTTAGGTTCTAGGATTGTCCATATTAATCATATTAAAAATACGTTGAAAATCTTGCATTGCATTTTCTGAATGCTTCTTATATTTTCATTGAATTCTAATAAGTATTGTTTAATAAAACCAATGTAATTCTACGAATATTAAAATGATATATTTAATCGCAACTCTACGAATATTAAAATGATTCATCTAATCTCAACTCTTACGAATACTAAAATGGTTTATTTTATCTCTACTTTTCAATGCATTATAATGTACATCTAACCTGCAATAACTTTGTTCCCGTCCTCTGGCAGTTGAAATCAGTTGCTGATCCTAGATTGTACGCATATGTTTAATATTTCAATTATAAATAACAGCTTTAATAATATCAAGCAATCAAAAGTACATATAAGTACATTTTTATGATAAATAAATCTCTAAATTTATTATTAAATGACTTCAATTACATATTATGCATTCTAGGGATTATATTATTTAAAACAAACTGTTAAATCGCCAAAGTCCTGTCATCATCTAACAATGATAACATATTGATTGTACGTACCTTTCAATCTTGATTGTAATTCCTAAAAAGAATAATTAAATTTGAAAAAAAAAATGAAGCTTTACATACAGTTTACCAATATTTTCGTATGTTTGTGTATGTTTTCATCTTCAAAAAGGCAATGGAATGACTGCTGCATTAACTTTTATAAAGTGTAAATTATAAGTGTAAAGTAAAGTATATATTTATTTCAAAGCAAAGTTCCGTAGATTATCACAGGGGTTTTCTTATTTATATTTCAAACATCAATTCATTTTAAACTAACTTAAAATTACCAAATACTGTTATTTCTCCTCTTCTGTATATGATAATTACAAGAGCCGTTACTGCAATTAAAATCAAACACAGAAAGACAGATAAAACAGCCACAGTGGCGGTACTTTCCTTTTCAGATGGCATTGTTTGATGGGCTGAAATTAAACCAGAAAATATCTTTATATCCAAAGAGAAAAAAAATATTCAAATAAATACCAGTAAATCTATAAGAAAAAATATTATATGTACTTTTTTACGACATATAAATCACGAAAATACGTCATTATATGTTTTATTATGCATATGTATTCATTTTTTGATTGAATAATCAGTTTGTAGCTTAAATTGAAGGGGAAAAATTTGTATCAAATAATAAATCTCACAGATAAACATAACCCTCTTTGGACAAACTCCATTAATATTGCATAAAATCGTTTGTTTTTAAATCATTTTATACCAATAAAATATTAGATACAGGCTGTATTTACCGTTTACCCTTATTGTAAGACTTGAAAAACGTAATCCAGATCCACAGGGGCTGGTAGAGAAATTAGAAACTTCACAGATAAAATGGACAACCTTGTCGTACTCCGTTATGTGATAAGTAATTCGACTGAACATTATCATTTCTCCACCACTTTTATTTGCTGAAGACTTTATTTCATCTTCTTGCGTGACAACTTTTGTCCAGTTAGCATTGGCTGTCTTTTTTACACACCAGTTCATCGGCTAAGAAAAAAATAAGGAAAGAAATTTATCATGAAAAAAGCCTAATATCGTTAGATTAACCTTTATTCAGCTAGTATAACCATTATCTCATGATTATTCATGATATATTAAAACTGACAAGGGAATACACCCGAAAAATTAAAAAAATATTTTATCTTGATATTCTCCTCTCTATAGAGTATTTCGTGCATTAATCTTTCTCATAGGGATATCGGTCAACCCATCCGGCATAGAAGTCATTAGTTAGTGGAGAAAAGCTGCGACATTCTAATGCCTTCATACCCTACCGTAAATGTTGTCTCAAAGATGCTCGATCAGAAAAAAAAGACGAATGTCGAACAATCTGGTTGAACATGCTGGAAAAATAGGCATACGACGCCTGCTTACCTGAGTAAAACTAAGACCAATAAAGCTGATCTGATGAGCTTAAAAACCAGAAAATAGCAATCGATTTCTTTCAGTTATGGTTTTGTTTTATGTTAAGGATTGCCTACTGTATATATATCGGTTTCAGTGGTAATGTTTAGCAGATATACAAGTTGCGAGATAAAAAGTCCAATTTAAATGTGGCACTGTTACGCTCAAACGTTAACAAAGTCATTCTAATTCCTTTCTGACAATGGATAAAATGTCCTTCAGTAAAAAAAAAATATTTAAAAGCTATTTAGCAACTAAAAGATAAGTGATATAAATAATATGTTACATAGCCTATACATAATTTGTCGTTATAAATGTGCACGTATTTTTGCTTTTAGCTCCGAGATAAAATATGATTTAAACTTGTAAAGTAAACATCAGATTAAGTGCACAGCTACCTGATAAAGAAGTACTTCTGACCATTTTTATGTCATTTTGACCAAGGAAAAAATAACTTGCATTTTGTTTTTTTTTTTATTGTATTTGATAGTTATAAGTATTTACCTTTTCGTTAGATGTGAAGGAGGAAGCACTACAAAACAGATGAATGGTTCTTCCAATTCCTTGTGTGTTGAGATACTGTCCATTTATAACTTCATTTTCGTCGTATATCACGATAGGAGATACTTTCCACTGTCCCCCTGCTTATCAAAATGGAAATATTGAACACAAAACAAGAAAGAAGAAAAATAATCAAATAATTTTACATCAAATCCTTTGTTGATGCATAATTTTATATAAAATAATTACCTTCAGTCGAAGTTTGGATGTTAATGAATACCGTCGCATTTACACTTCCTTTTCCACATTCACTTGTGTATTTGTTGTAGCCTGATTCACACATTATTTCTAGGGATGCATCACTTTTCATGATGTGGTAAAAGATCTCCGATTGCTGTATAGGCATGCATCCATCGTTGCTGCTAGATACTACTGCAGTGACTGGAAGGTCTTGTAGAGATATTTCAGTAAATTTTCCAGATATATTCTTGCACCATCTGATGTTCTTTTAAGAAAATTAAAAATCCCTTTCAAATTTAAATGTTTTTATTGAAAATACAAAAACAATTATTATATTTTAGCTTTCGCTTGCAGGCGTTTCACGTAAGAGAGAAAAAATAATCTGCGTCGATTTATTAAGAAGATGGTTAAAGATACCTATAACTAACAAGTATTTAAAAATACAGTTTTAACATTTAGAAATTGAATAAAATCGAATAAATTATTACAAATTCAATGACATGTGCACATTGTCTCAATTAAAAATTCAGTTTAGAAACATTTTGATTTAACCTGTATGATTTTTTTTTTCATTTTTTGTAGTTCGTAATGCCCAGTACTATTTATTGGGAAAGAAATCATAAACAATTACAAGGTTGAAACAGTGAACGATCTTTAAAATAATCTACAAATAATTTAAATCTGTAAACAGTGTAAAAAACAGAGACCAGAGGTGGAATGAGATGCCAAAGAGGAGCAAACTTCTGAAGCCCCAAATATTAATGCTTTAGATTACCCCGTTTATAAAACCAAAAATCTAGAATCATATTATGATAATTATAAATGACGGCCATTCTTGGACTCAATGAAATAAACCTAGAGAAGAATGCCATGTAATGTTTTAAAGATGTTATTTTATCATTTTTTATATAAAAGATAATATTTATATAAATATATATATATATAAATTTATTATAAGATATATTAAACTTTTGCTCTTGGCTTATTTTTAAGTGTCGGTTTTGATTTTCTTTCTTGGGAAGGGGGCATTTACAATTTTCCGTATTCCCCATTGTCCCCCTGAAAAACAAGAATCAACTTCATTAAAACAAGAGGCCCAGGGGCCACAGTGCTCACCTGAGCATATCAGCTAAGAAAAAGCACATTTCAGATCAGAACTGAAAGTTTAGTAACGTTGGGGGGGGGGGAGGGGGGGCTTGAATTTTAACCCCCCAGGGGATCATGATTTGAACGAACTAGAATCTACACTACCTGAGGATGCTTCCATATAAATATTACTAATCATGGCTTTGAAGTACTTGATAAGGAGATTTTAAAAGGTTTCCCAATATATTCCTATGTAAAACTTTTAACGGCCATTATGGCCCCACCCTAGCCCGGGGTCATGATTTGAACAAACTTGAATCTACACTACCTACGGATGATTCCACATGAGTTTCACCTTTCCTGGCCTAGGGGTTCTCGTGAAGAAGATTTTTAAAGATTTTTCCTATATATTCCTATATAAAACAATGATCGGCCATTATGGCCCCACCCTAGCCCCAGGGGTCATGATTTGAACAAACTTGAATGTACACAACCTGAGGATGATTCCACATGAGTTCCATCTTTCCTGTGCCTATGGATCGTGAGAAGAAGTTTTTTTCTATATATTCCTATGTAAAACTTTGATCGGCCATTTTGGCCTCACCCTACCCCGGGGGTCATGACTTTAACAAACTTGAATCTACACTATCTGAGGATGATTCCAAATGAGTTTCATCTTTCCTGTCCCAGTGGTTCTTGAGAAGAAGATTTTTAAAGATTTTTCCTATATATTCCTATGTAAAAGTTTGATCGGCCATTTTGGCCCCACCCTACCCCCGGGGGTCATGATTGAACAAACTTGAATTTACACTACCTGAGGATGATTCCACATGAGTTTCATCTTTCCTGGCCAAGTAGTTCTTGTGCAGAAAATTTTAAAAGATTTTTCCTATATATTTCTATGTAAACCTTTGATCGGCCATTATGGCCACACCCTACCCCCGGGGGTCATGATTTGAACAAACTTGAATTTACACTACCTGAGGATGCTTCCATATAAGTTTCATCTTTCCTGGCACAGTGGTTCTTGAGAAGAAGATTTTTAAAACATACCATCAAATTTTCACTATTTCTTAATCATATCCCCTTGAATAAGGGCGTTGCCCTTCATTTGAACAAACTTGAATCCCCTTTACCTAAGGATACTTTGTGCCAAGTTTGGTTGAACTTGGCCCAGTGGTTCTTGAGAAGAAGTCGAAAATGTGAAAAGTTAACGACAACAACGACGACAACAACGACGACGACGACGACAGACAACGGACAAATTTTGATCAGAAAAGCTCACTTGAGCCTTCGGCTCAGGTGAGCTAAAAAGAAAAATAAATAACATACCTGGCTTGGTAGCCCATTTATGCTTTCAACGTCGGCAATGCATTTAAGGTGCATCACGTCTCCTGGTCCTTCTCCGCTGCTTTTTACAATGGTGGGGGCCTGAATTTTGTTCGGAGATTTCCCTATGTTATGATTGTTTTGAAAATTAAAAGTTGCTTTTTCAATGGAAATTATTTTTTTAGGGCATTGGTAGTAAAAAGAATGATTTCACAAAAATATGCAAAAACATCAGAGGTGGTATCATGTGCCATGGAGTAGTGGGCATTCCCTGCCGACCGTCCACATCAAACGTGTGCTCCTTTCATGATCAGGAAATAAAAAAAAATAGCGTCGTCAATTCTGTGTGTAAATAATGGCTTAACAATTAGTAGGAAAAACGTAAGTCAGCATTTGACTCAGTGATATATTGTATTGGCTGACAAGGTTATTGTATCGACCATAGAACTTACGAAATAGTCACTTTAAACGGGACAGCTGATATTCTTCTTTCATCAACGTGTTTGTCAATAATTAACCCTGTTTTAGAAATCGTTTGCTCTGCTCCTATTTTGTATTGTTTTATGGACTTTTGATCTTGAATACAGTTCGTTAACTTCACATGTTTTATTTTAGACCACTCTAAAAACATAATAAATATCCACATGATTAGCAATGCAGCTTGGGCATGCCTTGATAGATGTAGTTTTAATTAACAACAAATGGATTTTTCTTGTCCGCAGAAATCAACTTGTCAGTAAATGAGTATTTTGACATTACCATTCTACATAAATATCAAACAAATATTGTGCATTACCGATCTCACCTTTTGTCAGCACGAAACTTTTTTCCTGACTTTCAAAAATTTCACTTCCGTTGGACACTCTACATCGAAAGATTGTGTAGAGGTTTGTGTCAATTGAACACATGTTCAGTGTAAAGGAGACAATTATCCTTGTCCTGCAATATATTTCACTCCTACGATTCATGCGACAACTGAAAGAAGACATGCTATAAATGTCCAAGCTTTGATCTGTTTGGAAAGGGTAGGATCCCGTGATATTAGTCATTGCAAGTTCTTTCCAGTCTCTTTTGTTTTTTGTTCGAATTTCCATGACCATTTCAGGGATAATGTTATTCTTATCAGTATATTCATCAAAGTTGCAATAAAGGGTGACGTTATTTTTTCCGATTGAAGTTGATGGACTGGCATACAGGCTCCAATACCCTGTATATATTATATAATTCGTGAAAACATCGTAAAGAAATACTGTTGCAAAAATGCATTTAATCTTAAAAGACAAAAATGTTGACATACCTTGACAAAATGGACAGAACACGATAAACAAAATCACCAAATACATAGCTAAATCAGGGAAGTAAAATATTTCTCAATGTCCTTGAACTGACCTGTTTTAAAAAAACATTTGGTAAATGATTCAACAGGTAAATAAAGTTAAAACAGGTTTTTCAACAGAGCTTTAAAGACAGGTGGTACTGGAAGCACTAAATATGGAAGATATGCTTCGCTAGTCCTGCTATTTGATAAGCTGCACAAAATATTAACTACAGAATAAAAAAGAGTTACAACAGTTCACAAAGACATCAGCTTATTTCTAAAGCATATATTTTAATACATTCAGCGGGCTAGAGAGAAAAGAATTTATTAAAATCAACCAATGAAAGTAAAACTATCCTTTGTTATTATTCTCTTACAATTCCTCCCTTAAGATGATGGGCATCTTTGGTGTCACTTGTGTTATCTCAAGCATAATGGACATTATCCAGATTGTTTCTCTTAACCATTCTCACTCAGAGAAAACATACAATGCATATAACAACATCAAATTATCTCTCTCTCTCTCTCTCTCTCTCTCTCTCTCTCTCTCTCTCTCTCTCTCTCTCTCTCTCTCTCTCTCTCTCTCTCTCTCTCTCTCTCTCTCTCTCTGAAAAACCACAGTCTGTATAAGAATGTTAAATTTTGTTTTATGATAATAAAAACAGATTTTGTATTGAATATAAAAGTAAATAAAGAAAATAAAGACCTTCCTGACATACTAGTATTACAAAGAGAAAATAAATTATGAATCGACAATAAGAATAATGTGAACCCCCCAAAATATAAGCGTATTATTACAAGTAATGTTTTAAAGGTTAAATTTACTGGAAGTATGATATAGATCCGTATCAGCCCCGCAGATACAAATCAGCATTATAAGCAAAAATCCTTTATTTATTACTACGTATAAAATACATGCTTTTTACGTTTAACTTTCCAACGAAATTTGAAGATAACGAACAGTATTTAAGTTAAAAAGTTCATTTAAACAATACATATCAGAAACAGAACAAACAAGGACATCTACCCTCTAAAAACATGTATAAGAGGTAGGGCCAGATGCCATAATCATGAAAAGTGAGCATCCTCTACCTACGGTAACACCCGCCATGATCGATAAAATTGCATAGACGATGTTTTGTGTAAATAATGACATTTCAGTAAATATGAAAAAAAAACATCATCATTGCATATGACTTAATGATTCATTTTTCCCTAATATGGTATATTTTATCGATCACAGAACTTGCTACATGTAAATGACTAAAAAGTCGATATTCTGGTTCAAGAAACTAGTTTTCCAATAGCTTGTTTATTTCATAAAATGATCGTAAGTAGAGCATGATTTTGTCCATAACATCAACTGAGAGACACAAACTCCATATGTATGTAAAATTTACATGGAATTCGGATAAAGGAGACATCAATGCGGACATCTTGTCAATCCTGTTTTCAAAGGATTGCTCCCTTACTGATAGTTGTTATAACCACGTGACACCAGACCGTGATCCTCCTCTCATTCAAAAGAGGTCGAGGGAGCACGTTTTGATCTTATAGTACTCAAAAGACACACAATTAAACAATTTTGAAAACTGGGCTGATTTTTTTTCTCAAGACATTCCATTGATCTGTTGTGGAGAGAAACTCAGATGAAAAATGTCCTTAAATATTCCTTAACATCAGTCGCAAAGGTACCTTAACATCACGACAAATGTGAGCAATTAGATTTAAACGACTCTTTAATTGGTTTGTAACTTTAACCATAATCATAAAGGTCGATCGTCAATAAAAATAATGATTTTTCCACTTTGAGAATTCTTTTCGGTGAATGTGATCAACAATATTTTAAAATTTTTTCCCATTATTTTTTTTCCATTTTGAATCATTTATATATGTATTGTATAAAACATTCTGGTAAATCTGAGAACGAATAAATTGTGATATAAATTCATGCACCACGTGACAACCTAGCTACTTTTAGAGTTATGAAAGAATGGCATCAAAAAAGGGAAGTAGCCCGCTTTGGTTACAAATAACTTTTGACGGTGACGGCAAAATCTAATCAGTGGAAACTGCAGATGTCATTTTTTGAAAGGTTCATTGTGCTCCTGTTTCCAAAGTTATACATATATTTTGAAAACTAAAACACATTCCAATAGATGGAGCAAGTCAGTACAAATTAACCATATAGAAATAACACTGCCAGGAAAAAAAAACCAGAGTCTAATACATTTATGCATTTATTAAAATTGATATATTTTGACTTTTCATATATCCTGCTTTCAGTGAAAAGAAAAGCTTTGGTTAATCAGTTTGTTAATGCATGTTTTTGTTAGAAGTCTAGATCTTCGTAGTTTTGTTGTTCTTCTTCAATATGCAGCTCATCGTAGTCACATCTGCAAATAAATAAAGAATATTTTTTTCACAAAACTATTGAAATTAAATTAACTTTTATAATCAAGCATTAAATTGCAACAACATAAAAATGATTTTTTTTTTTTCTATTCAAATTATTTAATAGTGTTAATCTATTACATTAAGAAATATAAAAACGAGTCGTTAATTATTTTTCCAACATATTCCTTCCTTTCCGTTGATATCAGTCATTGGATATTGTTACATGTATGATATCAATGGATTTTGTGCGAGAGTAAAAGTAAAATAAATTAAATTCTTGCGTACAGCGTAAAACATTTAAAATGATGTATAAAAATGGGATAGATTGGACCTCCTATGGTATGTGGTGGAATATAATTTTTAATCCAACGACTTGTGTGTCTTATCATCTCACCTAGACTCGGGGATAATAAAAACACGATGCGCTGGATAAAAATTTTATCCAATCACGAATCATGGTAGATCATATGTTACTCACATTTGTGATTCACTGTTTTGTTTTAATTTTTCTCCTTCGTTCAAACTGTCATCTTTCAACATTTCATTTTCGTAAGCACTTTGTCTATGAACTGCCAATGTGCATTCTGGTTCTTCATAAAACCCTCTTGAATAAGGAAAATTGATACTAATATTGAACTGTTGTAGTCTTCAGCAGTTTTAACATTAAGGATATGGCGGAATAACTTTCGATAACACTTATACTTACTGTGTGTTGTCCTCTGAATCTTTCTCATTTTTACACTCTGTACATAGTAAAAAATAATATCTAAATGACAAAGCTGCGTTTATCTCATTTATAAAAGATTAATAATATATAAAACCAAAGGAAATAAACAAGACAAAACATGGCCAGGAAAAAAATGAACTGTTAAAGAAAAGTAATATTAACTAGGAGACTTATTGTTCACAGAACAATAAGAGGTCTTTCCACCTTCTTTGAATTTTAAATTTGTTTTATACCTGACTCCTAAAAATTAAATTCCATGAAAAAGAAACCAGAACTCTCTTTAAGCATAGAAAAAATGAAAATAAAAAAAATGAATGACTTTGACCTTTGACCTTGAAAAAATATTTAAGGTCAAATGTCAAGGATCACAATGCAGTGGCCCCCATGCTTCTATGACTTATAGTTGTCAAGTTATAAGGTTTAATAGTAAGGACAAAGAACTTAAAGGGCAATAACTCATATAAGGGGTCATCAGATCCATTTGCACTTATACAGTGAAGTAAGGCCTAAAGACTCTTAAGATATTAGTGAAGGTTTGGTGTCTCTACAGTCTACGGTTTCGGAGGAGTAGCGATAACAAGGTTTTTCGCACAAAGGGCAATAACTTTTAAAAGGGTTAATATTAGGGAACAAAAGTGAAATCTTTGAAACAGTTTTAAGAGAACATATTAATGATGCATAGACATTAAGTATATGTTAAAAGACAAAAGAGATATAAAAAGAGCTAAATTTTCCATTTTTGGAATGACCTTGACCTTTGACCTTTACATGAATTTGATGGTCAAAGGTCAATGAATCTTATGCAGTTTGTCCCAAGTCTCTACGACTTGTCGTTTTGAAAATTATTAATTATTTGTAATATTCAAAAAGTTTCAGGGGCAATAACTCATTGAAGGGGTTTCCGAATGCTTTCACAATGAATAGATTGAAGAGTCCCCATAATTAGGCAAAGCCATTGGTGAAGGTTTCATAACTTTACGGTTTATGGTTTCAGAGGAGTAGCGATAACAAGGGTTTTTAGCACAAGGGGCAACAACTTTTAAAAGGGTCAATCTTAGGGGCCAAAATTTATATCTTCTAAAGAGTTTCAAAAGTACATATTAAAGACATAAGATAGATCGTATATGTTTAAGGACATAAGAGCTATTAAGAGAAATTTATTTCTCATATTTGGAATGACCTTTGACCTTGAAATGAATTTGAAGGCAAAAGGTCATTGAATGTTATGCAGTTGGTTTCATGTCTCTACGACTTTTCGTTTTGAAAATTTTTAATTTTTTGTAAAATTTATAAACTTCCAGGGGCAGTTACTCATTGAAGGGGTCAAAGAAAACTTTCGCAATGAATAGACTGAAAAGTCTCCTAAATTAGCTGAAGACAATGGTGAAGGTTTTATATCTCTACAGTTTATGGTTTCTGAGGAGTAGCGATAACAAGCTTAACGGTGAAAGGGCCAATAACTGCGTAAGGGGTCGAAGTTAAAACATAGGGGGTCGTTTTTCGGAATAACTTTAAATATCCAGTATCATGAACTAAAAAGTTTTTCGATAAGTCTTACGGTCTCAAAAGCTAAGGTGAGAAATAAAATAAAAAGAAACAGAAGCATTTCAAGAGGTCTTTCCACAGAAAGGTGGAAAGACCTAATGAACTTAAAAAAAAGAGCAAAGGGACATAAACTTAAACTTAATTTGCATTATTTTTTAATAAAAATTAAATTTTATTTTATTGAAGACACAAGTACAAAAATTTAGAATTTTTGTTAAAATAACGTTATATGAGCCTCGTCGGATAGAAATCGACCTTATCGTATGCAACGTCATAATGAGAAAAAAGGGAATAAAGTTGAGAAAGATTTCCCGGTATTTTTACTACACATGGTTTTCACGTTAAGGAATGTTTTAGACATCGTCAACTGCAGTTCAAAGATTTTTTTCTTTAAAAAATCGGATCATTTTAAACATGTACTAATGAAATAAACAAATTTTAAATGTATTCCCCTTCGTAGAGCCTTATTTTTTTTTATTGTTACCATGGATCAATGTAAACACAAGCAAGAGGAATGCCGAGTCCGACCTACACTTTTTTTTTTCAAACAGCAGAAGACGTAAGGCCATATCTAA